AGATAGCTTGAGAAGCACTGACCTAGGAAGTTTATGCAGATCCAAAATCAGCTTTATCCTTATATACAACTGTAGCTCTGGCTGACAAGAGTCAAAAAGAACATTACTAGCGCCACATTCAACTCCAACAAAACTGGCCAATATAATATTCTGTTAGCATTATATTAATTTTGCATTTATTTCTCCCACACTACAAACATACCTTGGATCCTTGACAGAGGGCAATCTATGTATTAAAATAAATGCATATATGTTTGTTCTGTGAGTCATTATTTCAGTTCCACAGATATATTTGCCTGTAACACAATGGACAAATTTGCAGAGTGGTCCTAAGTTCAAAACAACTAAGCCTTACTTTCATCTCTTTAATCTGATTTAAAAAAAAAAAAAGGAAAAAAAAAGAAAAAGAAGAAAGAAAAACATTTCCCAGAATCAGATTGGAAGCTTTCTCTTCAGCAAAATAAAAGACAAAGGGGTCAGATTTTAGCTGACACATAATTCCTGTTAATAACACTGCCTATTTATGACTGCTATTATCTTTTGTGAACATTAATGGGGACCTTACCGTCTCCTATTTGAACAGTTCCATTAACAGCTGCTGTCTGCTAGCAAATACCTTTTTTATCTAGACACTATTAATTGCAAAGTATTTCCCCTTCAAAGTGAACAGCTCCTTTTCTTTTCCTTCTTAATTCTCACCACCATGTATCCCCTTGTGAGGTGTGGGAAACAGAATTATCAAGATCAAAGCACAGGCAGAAGAAATCAAAGGAAGAAATTGTTCCTTTTTGCTGGGATGCTCTGTGGAGGTGAAGGAGGTGTTTTGCAAAAAGGTGGTGATATGCAGGAGAAGCCTACAAAAGTTCAATTATCAGCTCAGCCATGGGCTTTAACAAGGCACAGACCCTATTTGAATGTCACAATACATAAGAGGTCCAGGATTCCTTGGATATCACATTTACCACAATGTTGTCATACACTCTATCCAATTTTTCCTATGGTGAAGGACAGTGGCTAAACATACTACAATGGTGTATGACTACCCTTTATTATCTCAATCTGTCAGGTCTTATCAACTGGAGTTTTGGACTATCAGTGATTCAGATTCAATATGAATCCAGGAATCAGTGATGTATGATCAAATAATGTGACCTATTCCAAGTAATGTCATTTTTTATAGTTGTGCTACTGTGATCCTGTCTATGGCGAGTTCACTTAGACGGTTTGTCATTTTGTTTGGAAACCTGCCCAAAGCACCTGTCACCCCCAGAACCACAGTTACTTTCTTGTAACAGTAGTATTCTGCTTTCCCCCCAGCTCTGAGAATCAATGTGACTTAAAATATATATAATTACCAACAATTAAAAGCAATTTAAAATCCTACACATTTTAAAAGAGATGCAACAAATACAGACAATGCAGTGCATTATGAAATATGTTTTCCCCATGATAAATCAGTTCCCAAAGGTCTGTTGAAAGAACAGAGTTTTGACCTGACCACACAAAGTTTGCAAAGAAGGCACTAGTCCAACCTCTCTAGGAAGGGAGTTCTAGAGCTTGGGAACAGCAACCAAGACTTATACATCATGACTGATTTGTGAGAGCAGAAACTAGTCGGTGTGAGATTTGGGGTAGATCTATTTAGGGTAGAGTATTCTGGCCCCAAAGCTACCCTGAATTCCCACCCACCCCTTATCTCTGCCCTCTGGGTGGCTGTCTACACATATGTCTCACTGTGCAACCTGATGCCACCAC